TGTAGCATGACTTGGGAAAAACTGTTCCTTATCGGACCGATGGAAGTGAATGCCTGGACGGCTGGCTCCAATGGCCCTACCGAGATGTGCGGGGTGATTCCCGAGATTAACGGTGGGTATACGAGCGGCAAGTCGAGATGGGGTATTCTGGGTAAGGAGGAAAGGGCGAATGCCTTGCTGAGACCTGGGTACCGGGCAAATGCCTTGCTGAGACCTGGGTACCGGGCGAATACCTTACTGAGACCTGGGTACCGCGCTCGCGACGGTTGAGCTGTGCTTGAGGTATGGGATAAAACCCTACCGATAGTACCAGCGGAGAGACCATATTGGGATGGTCGGTGAGGAGATGACCGGCCCGTATGTGAGGTTGCCTGATTTTTTTGTGTTCCCCCTCTGTAAAAATTGATTGAGATTGGACTGTTGGACAGACACTCTTCTTAGTCTATTCCCCCTCCCATCTAAGTCTGCACGAGTGAGAGATGATCGGAAGGAAGGGGGATAGAGGTCAATTGGAATGGAACCAAGAGAAAAAATGTGGGCAAATGGATGGCCGGCCAAGGGAATTGTAGGAAGGGGGTACTTAGGAAAGGGGAGGTAAAATAGGGAGACCTTGATGAGGGGTCTGACATAATTCTCATCTACGTCAAGGGTTGACCTAACCAAAAGGATCGGTTGGTGCCCTTTTATGAAAACAGGGGTCGGGTGCTGAAAACAAGATGGCACGATGGTTGCCTTCCTCGATCTATACCAGCGGTCCGGAGATGCCAGTAGATGTAAAGGATGGGGTATCGGTCGTCCTCCCGGAAAATGGAACGTGGACAGACCTTGAACCAGCGTATCAAACGGTAATGCTGGAAGGAGAGAATGCTTTCCTTTGGATAGAAACAATATGAATTAATGTCAGCTTGACGAGGTTGTCACCAAGTTTAATAGATTTGGAATTCCGAGGGACAGTGGAAACCCGGGGGTGGGTCTACTTGTCGCAAGGTGGGGAGAAAGCTATGATCATAGAGTTGGCACTCGGGAATACGCTGGACGAGTTGTTTAGGAAAGCAGAAGCAGAGGTTGTGTGGGTTGCATGCCAACGGAGGGAAATGGAAATGGAAAAGGTGGACGTACGGGTGAAACTTGGGGATAGAGGAAGCATGAGGCGACCCGTAAGAACCATGCGATGTGTGCTGCCCTCCTTCCTAGTGGATGCGGTTTTCGGGACCCGGAGTAGGCTAGTACGGATATGCCAATCCATGGTGAACCTCGGGCTATACCAATGCGCTATGCAAGATTTCTTTCGGTTATCAATAGAAATGGGGCCGTTCGAGGGGAAATGGGTGGAGGAGCTGGCCGAGATACTAAACTGCCTTAGCATAGACAATATCTTTGTCTCTAGCGCTGTGCATTGGGGGATAGTCTACAAGAATGTGGCAATAGGGGAGACGTTTCTAGATGGGGTAAGGGAGTTGGTATACGACAAGGAGGACGACTTCTGTGATGAAGACGAAGATGAAGAGATAGAGGATTGATATTTCTAAGAGGGGTGGGGAAACTTAACTTAGGGAGGACGGGTGGCCTGGTATTGTGCAGGAAAGGGAAAAATGACTAGAGAAGAAAGGATGATGGAATACCCCTTCAAAGGCTGGGAACCACGGCGACTCAGAGGAGGAATAGAAATGCCTATACCAACAGGAAACAGATGGAGAGGGACCACGTGTGACTGGATTGGGTTTGAGGTTGTCTGAGACTTGTCATATGTATGGATAGAGCGGATTTGGAACCCGATAAGGGAAGAGGAAGGTTGGGATGATATAGCAGAAGGCAAGGTAGAGTCAGGTGGAACGATTGTCCTTTCCGAGGATGGATGGCGCCTGTTTTGCACCATGTTAGCAATGAGACAGGACCCGATGTGGCTTCTAGGGGATGCAGAGGCCCGAACGCGAAAGGAAGGCAAGCGGTTCGCCAACGAGGGATGGGACGAAGTTAGTAGCAGAGTTGTGATGGGAGGGTGGAAGGAACTCAAACCTCCAAGTCTACGGATAACGGTTTGGGTACCGGAATTCATAGCCGAGTGGTTTGGGGGGTTTGAGCACATTTTTGAAGTAGCCGACTCCATGAGAAGGGTGCATATAGAGTGTGTCTGGTTGACTGAGGAGTTTTATAGGCTCTCATTGAAATATGGGCCCTTCTACAGGGATAAAGCTGAGGAAGTCATCATCGTCCTAAGAATAGGCAGGTATGACCGCCTAGAGGCGGAGGCGGAGTCTTGGGACGCCATAGTTAGCCGGGAGGCAGCGGCTCCACCCTCCTATGTAGACGACGTCTTTAAACTATTTGAGGTACTGTGGTTCGACTGAATGAGGCCAAGGAATCAAACACAGCGAAAAGGCCTGAGTATGGAGGGTGCTTGTGAAGTAAGGTGTAACATAAGAAAGAGAATGTGTACATTAGGCCATAGATGGTGCATAAGGATCAAAACAAGGGGGAAGTGACAACAACTGGAAAATGGGGGTCGGGTAGAATTGAACGTGTATGAGTTGGGGATAGCGACAGGAACCAGTGTACGATAAGTAGGGAGGGTTGAAAGACTAAAACACGAAAGGCATGGAATCTCGGTGGGTGCAGCGATCGGACTAAGAAAGAACGAAATGAGACATTGCGAGATGGCCCGGCGAATGACGTTCTGGGCGGATAGACCTCGTGGGATCCTGCCACCAAGAATATCAGAGGGCAGGGTCGAGATAAGCCTGCCGGCGAGAAATACGGTAGGCAATCCGGTAATGGACTGGGTGGGGGTAGAGTTGGTGGAAGATCCGGTGTACCTAGTAGTGAAGCTAGAATGGCGGGCGAGAGGGGAGTTCGGGGGCGTAGACTTGAACCACCCAGGGCGTGTACATGCGACGAGATCCTTACACCTGTCGGAAGAGGGATGGCGGACATTTGGGATTGCTTTGGCTTCCTAAGATGACCTCGTGCGAATGTTCAAAAGAGCATGGCAAATAACTTGGCAGGAGGGGTTTGAGTTTGCAGATCCGGAACGAGATGACGTGACGGCTGAGGTACAAGTCGCCGCAGCAAGGGTCTTTGAGCTGCCGAATGAGATCGTACGGATGAGTCTACCGCCCTTCCTGCTAAGACGAATGGGAGGCATAAAACGAGTGGAGCAGGCGGTAACTGCCATAAGTAGGCTAAATTTTGACGAAGCAATAATGTATCAAGAGTACTATCGGGCCTTTCTAGAGATGGGGTCTTTCGGGGACGAACAAAGGGGCGAGGTGCTTTGCATTCTACGAGCAGCGATGAATACTAGGCCAGGAGTCCCGCAAATAAGTGATGAGACCGTGTGGAGATTCATCCGTCGAGAGGTAGATCGGGGCGCGACCTACATAGATGATCTCTACCGGCTGTATGAACAGCCTGAGGAGGCTACTGCTCCCAGGGGTATAGAGGGATAGTTGGGACTAGAAAGGGAAATGAAACACGAAGGACAAGGGGGGTGTAGGTGGACGGTTTCTAAGGATTGGCTGTAACACTTTCTATGTGGATCATGCAGAAAATCACCAAGGAAACCATGGCAGCAAGACGTGAGCATATGGAACTTCAGGCCCGTGTGCGAATGGCGCTCCAACCCCGGTACCCCGGACCGCCGTGGAATAACGGTGGACGCTGGGAAGTATCCCTCCCGTTGAGTTCAACTTATCGGGGGTTCGATATAGAATGGCGGGCTGTGACTTTGAGGAGGGACACCGCCTTCATGTTGGTAGAATGTCGGTGGACAGGGATGAGACTCGACCGAGGACCCGACGACGATCTGTTTTCCAATCTGGAAGTTACCGGAACCATGTATCTGCCTGAGATCGACTGACACTCGTTGGTGGTAGAGATAGCACAAGGTCACGAGCTGGCACCGGTTTTTCAAAGGGTCGCCCGGACGTTGATCCGGATAGGACAATCAGTCAGGGTTTAAAGGAACGTAGGCTTACTTACCCGGGTGGAAATGGGAGGATGGCGTGAATTCAGAGCACCAACCACACGCCGCTGAGGTGCTGGGTCCTCCGTTTTATGATAGATCTCGTCTTCGGAAGCCTCGCAAGGGCACGGGAGCTGGCAGACTCGGCAATAATGTGGGCAGACCACTTCCCCTCTCTAACCATCGGGATGTTCTATGATGTCGCCGTGAGGCATGAGCCGTTCTGGGGAAACAGGTCCCACGAGTTATTGGAGGTCATCCATATCCTGATATTTCGTGCACCCTGGCTAAGACCAGACAGGGCACGAACGCATAATCCAAAGGGAGATCGAGATAGGAGAAAGTTATTTGGCAGGGGTGGCTAAGCTATTCGAGGAGCCGACCGAACCGGAAGAACCACGAGGGCGGGAGCGGGACTAGGATCCGCAGGCAAGCCAATAGGGCAGATCCAGTATAGTCCGCTGCGTACAGAAAACCGCCAATGAGAATAAAAAAGGGGCCTCGGACCCGGATGGCTAAAACCCATTAGGAAAACAAAGAAGGGGGTAGACTCCTAATGATTGACCATAACCCTGAAGGTCAAAAACGGGAAACACTGCTCAGGGAGGCTTCCCTTAGCAGGATGCCTAACCCGGACTTCCTCGCCTCGGCCGACGAGACAAGGGCACTACAAACGGGCTTGTGATAAAGGAAGCCCAGTCAGGTTCATAGCTCGGCTGGGCGGCAGGGCCAGTCGTCGCTCCTCTTTAAGAAAGGGCAATCAGGAAACGGGGATAGGAAAGGAGACTATAAAGATAAGCCAACAGAGCTAGGGGCCTAGGGAACCTAAAAACCTCGCATTGCGTGTGTCCTGGGAATTCTTTGGCTTATGCAGAACTAGGCAAAATGGCAACGGAGGAGGAGACAAATAACCATAAGAGTGAAGGAGAGCCAGGCTTAGAAGGCAGTGCCGGCCAAAACGAAGGGGGGCAGAAGGATAGAGAATCGATAAATCCGGATGGTACTAAAGAGAACTGGAAGGAAATCTCCACAGGAGAAAGCTGAGGGAAAGCCGGGGGAAGTAGGCAAGGGACCTAGGGGACCAAGGAAGGCAGAAATAAGGATAGGACAAACCCCCGCAACTCGGAAGAAGTCATGCCTAAGAAAGTAAGGGTCGCGAACGCAAGGCGCAAACTAGCCGAGATAGACAAGAGGACCGCGGAATACAAGGCAAGACTGATTGAGGAAATGATGACTGGGAACGAAGAAGGTCCTCTGCAGGAGGAACCACGGGACGAACGGAAAGCCGGCCAAGGTGGGACTGGACAAGGGGATAAAGGTAGTGACCGTGGGGGAACGCCGAGCAAGAGAAGGAAAGAGAGAGAGAACTCTCCGGGGATGGAAGCAGAAAAGGCTATGACTCCGCCAGCCATGGATAGTAGGGCTAGCCGACTGCCGATCACGTCAGCAGTAGCGCGAGGATGCGAAGGACTTTGGAGCCTTAGGGAAAGAGTGTTGGGATGGTTTGATCCGGAAGGGACTATGAAAACCAGGGAGGGACAGAAGGTCGGCAAGGAGAGCCCGGATAGCAGTGTGGCGGGCGAGGCCAGCAGCTCCGAGGACGGCCTTAAGAAGATAGTGTCGTCCCTCGCGCGAGCACTAAAAAAAAATCAAGGCTATCTAGCAGACGCCAAGAAAAAGCTGACTTTCGATGGAGCGAACATCACGGAGTTCCTGATCGACTACGAGAACCTAGCTGCGTTACTAAAGTGGACCGAAGAGGAAAAGATGGACCACCTAGGACAGCATGTGTCGTTAAGCCTAGGACGGGACATAATGGTCATTGTAGCCGCAAGTCGGTCTTGGAAGGAGACCCGGGATGTGATGATGAGGAAGCACCTAGCGGCGGAGAAAATGGCAACGGAGGCCGACCTAGCGGCAGTTCAGAGGAAGAACTTCGCAACGTACAACGATTTCCTACGGGAATTTACTCTAGTAGCATTAACGATCCCCGGGGTCACGGACCGGATAATGAGCAAATACTTCCTCAGGCATTTTTCCGAGTTCGACAAAGACAAGATCCTGTCATCCTACCAACAGACGAGCAAGTTTGTAAACACGCGGGATGTTGATTTTAGCACGGTAACAGATCTGGTGGAGAAAACGGTAGTAACGGAGACGTTGGCCTTGCTCAAGGAAGGAGAGATCATAGATCTGACCGGTAGGACTGACGACAAGGTAAAGAAAGGGATTGAAAGTCTACATGAGCGGGTGCACGGGGTCGACCATAAGATTGAAAGGATGGAAGGCGCGCTAATGGTTATGCAAGCGCAAGTATCCCGGCCTTCCCACCCTCCCCAGGAAGCTGTGGTCCCGCCAGGTGTGGCAAACCGAGGATACGGACGGAGAGATCCTGCTAACGAGCAATGCAAATACTGCACCGCGATAGGACATTATGTGCGCGCATGCCTAAAGCTCAACCATGATATTCTGAAAAGAAGGTGTACCAGGTCGTTAAAGGGGGAGATATTTAGACCACAAGGGGAACGGGTGAACTGGAACTTGCCAGGAGGGATGCGGCGAGCCATTATCATGCTCAACGGGCTAGAAATAACAGTCGTAGAAGCCAAGCCAGTGGGCGAGATCATCTGGGATCAACGCCAGGGGCGCAATTTTATTTTGGAAAATGACGGACATGATAGGGTGAAAGCGACTACTCAGCTAGGGACGACTGGGAGAAGGATTAACCGTGACACCGGGATGGAAGAGGTTGCTGGAAGTTCGGAACCCCAGGCAGAGCCTGAGGCCGAGGAACCGGAAAAGGTCTATGGGAAACCTAGGGAAGAGGAACCTACAGACAAAGTTACCGCTGCCAAGAAGAAGTTTAGGTACCAAATCCGGATCTTATCCTTACCTGAGATCGACGACACCATTAGCAAGTTACTAGGGACCATGGTGTCGGTGTCTTTTCAGACTATGCTGCAGGCTAGCCCCAGGTTGCTCAAAGGGCTTAGACAAATGTTGACCCGGCGGCGAGTAGAAATAGGCGACAACCCCGAATTACCAGAAGGGGAGAGGGAGGAGGAAGTTCCGCGAGAAGTGGCTAACCTGCAGAGGAGTCGCGGGGACTTGGAGGATCTCGAGAAGGCCTTTGCAGWCATCCGTTTGAGCTTGCCCGACCGAGAGGGCGGCGAAGTCATGAGATCGCCACCCGGGACGAAGCTTAGCTTTCATGCGCTACCCGTAGGGAAATTGGAAATCCAGATCGAGAGTCATCACACCGACGCATTAGTAGACGGGGGAGCGGAAATCACTCTCATAAGGAGAGATTTCGCAACGATCACGGGATGTACGGTAAACAAGGAAGTAACAGGGAGCATCCGGGGAGCTGGCGGGGAAATCCCGTTCGCTGGGTACGTCACGAAGTGTGCTGTGAAGGCAGGGGTCAGGGAATCGATCTGGTCGTTTCATCGGATGACCGTAATGGAGGAAATGGACCACGACATAATCCTCGGGAAACCGTGGTGCGCGAATGTAGAGATGATAGGCATGCACTTGCACGATGGCTCGTACATGGTAGACATAGAGGACCCTGTGACCGGCCGGGGAGAGCTCTTTCGACTCCTTGGAACGGGAGGAGACCCCCCGAAAGGGAAACTGGCAACATGGTCGTCGTCGTTCAAGGATAGCACGCGGAAAGAGGCTTTCGCACGGATGGAGGGTATGAGATAAAGGGTAGAAATCATGATTGAGGAAGCATTCAAAAAAAAAGAGTGGATCAAGATGGGCCTGCCCCAGAAGAAGAGGAGGCAGGAGGACGAAGTCCTAGGTGTTATGGTAACGGAAAAGGACTTAGAGGTCGAACTTGGTGCTAGCCTGCCCAAACGGAAAGAAGTACGCATAGACGTGCCAGAAATCGCACTCGAGATCCCCGATCTATTGCAACTCATCAAGGCCCTCAGATACCACAAGGTAGGAGTGGATTCAGCAGCCTTGGCCAAGTTTGAAAGAGAGGTGCAAAAGGGGTATTGCCTGAATGGGAAACTAGCTAGTATTCAACCACGAGCCGTAGAGGCGACGGGGGCAATTCCTGACTGTTCATTTTTTAGGAGAAAGATCCCAGACACGATGAAGATAGGGATAGACGAGTTCTTAACGGAAGAAGAAACCCGCTTGATCAAAAGGACCTGCCAGGAGTTTCACCTGGCATTCGCCTTTAGTGATCACCAGAAGGGACGACTGGATGCGAAGTTGATCTCTCTGGTCAGAATCCACACGGTAGAACAGGAGTGTTGGAATGATAAGGGGTCATCCTATGAATTTGGGATAGCAGGAGAAGTAACAGACCTCCTCCGAGCAAAGATGGACTCCTTCGTTGCGGAGCCTACGACATCGCCACACGCAAATCGGTGGTTCATTTATCGGAAGCCTAACAAGACGCTAAGGTGGATTCAGGACCTGCAGAAGTTGAATGCGGTAATCATCTGAGATGCTGACTCGCTACCTCAGACTAACTTATTAGCAGAATCGCACGCCGGTCGGAGCATTTACTCCCTGATAGATCTGTACTCAGGATGTTCGGGACAGGCCATACACCGCTATGCACACCCCCGTAGGCCAGCTACAGATGCAAGTGATACCTATGGGATTCACAAACGTGGTTGCCGAAGCGCAATGCAGGATGCTCGCTGTGGTCGGGGACATGTTCCCAGAAAAATATGAACCTTACATCAATGACAATCCGATCAAAGGCGCGCAGGAAAAGGACGAGATGGAAGTCCAGCCAGGGATCCGACGTTTTGTGTGGGACCACCTGCATGACATCAAGGACTTACTACACCGGTTCCTAGTATACAACATTACGGCTAATGGACCAAAGAGTATCCCTAGCAATACTAGAGGTAACTATACTAGGATTTCGTTGCGGTGCTTACGGTAGGAAGCCGGATCCGGCAAAGACCGACAAGATATCACAGTGGTCGACGCCACTGCGCACGACGACGGAGGTAAGGGCATTCCTAGGCGTAGTCGGCTTTTGGAGGATCTTCATTAAGAACTTTGCCAAGATTGCTGAGCCTATCCGGGCTATGATAAGAGAAGAAGGAACCATAGATTGGATGGAGGAGCGAGAAGGGGCTGTCCAAAGGCTCAAGGACATATTGACATCCGAGACAGTCGCCCTGTCCGCACCTTGTTTTAATGACGAAGTGGGAAGACCCTTCATCCTAGAGACGGATGGAGGACCTTTGACCGTAGGAGGTGTGTTGATCTAAAGGGATGAGGGAGGAAAAGAGAGGCCGATTAGGTTTAAAAGTAGAACCCTGAACTTCGCAGAACGGCGGTACTCGCAATTCAAGAAGGGAGTCCTAGCTATCCTGCATTGCCTTAAGACCTTCCAGGCCTACCTATTTGGGAGACGGTTCATCTTAAGGATCGATCCGACGAATGTCGCAGGGGCTCTGAAGAATTACAGGCCTATAGATCCGACGGTAGGGAGATTGGTAGGATTCATCTGGCAGTTCGATTACAAGATCGAACGGATTGCTGGAATCCGCAACAAGGCAGATGGGCTGAGTCGGGTTTGCATCACTCCCGAAGGGATGGAGGATGCAGAGCCCATAGACGCCTTCCTCGAATACGAAGGAGAAACTCTTGCAGTGAACAATGAAATGATGAGCGGAGAATGCACATCGGAAGAACTATTGATCCAGACTTTGGAGAAGGGGGCACCTGTCGTAGTAGCTGAACTGACAGAAGGACCAGTCACCACTCGAGGACACAAAGAAGAAAATGACTCATGGGGAGCGATAGTAGGACCGAAAGAGGAAACAATGGCGGTCGAAGAGGGCCGGGAAGCAGTGATGAGCTTAGTGGAATCTTGGGAATGGAAAGAGTTGCAATGGGTGGTAAATCAGATGCAGGAAGGAAAGGATGGGGACAAGGAAGGAGAGAAGTTTTTCTATGTCCAATCATACGAAGAGCTCTTTCGGGAGATCGGGTTGTTGTTGGTAGGAAACAAACAACCTACGGAAGTCAGTATTAAGGCAAGAGAAGAAGCCAAAAGGTAAGTCCTAAGGGGCGGGTGTTTGTTCCGGAGGGAGGAAGGTGTTATGCCCAGAAGGGTTGTGTGCGGAAGATCTAGGCAAGTAGACGTTATCCAGACAATGCACGACGGGTTAGCTGGAGGTCATCGGTCGTCCAAAGGAACACTTGCAAAAATAACGCCGCTCTATTATTGGTCAGGCATGGCAGGCATGGTCACCGTATATTGCCAGACTTGCCTTATTTGCCAAGAACGAAGCTCGGTACGAGTCTTCGAGCCGCTTAGACCAACATGGGTGCTAGGGCTGGGACATCTGGTCCACCTCGACCTTGCGGTCATGCCTGTATCAACGGATGGATACAGGTATATCCTAGATGCGCGAGACAACTTGAGTGGGTTCGTGGAGGCAGTCGCCCTCAAGAAAAAGACAGGAAGGAGTGTGGCGGACTGGATAAAAGACTTCTACTTAAGGCACCCATTCGTCAGGAGGTTTATAGCAGACAATGGGACGGGATTTGTGAACCAAGAAGTATTGGGGATGCTTAAGAGACTCTGCGTACCGATCAAATTCATCGCGCCGTATCACCTTGAGGCCAATGCACCGGTGGAAAGGGGGTACCGAACCTTGAAGAACACGATTGCAAAGCTCGCAGCAGACCATTTGGGGAGCTGGCCTAGGTATCTTAAGCAGGCTGTCTTTGCAGAGAATATGACTCCTAAAAGGACAACAAGATGTATCCAAACAGAGCTTTGGTACGGAAGAGAGATCGACTTTCCTGTGGAAGCCTTGGTACCTACCTGGAATAGGTTAGATGATGATCCGCAAATGACCACTGAAGAGTTAATCGAGGCAAGATGTCAACAGATCCTTAAGAATGAGGGGGTCATGGAAGACATTGTCAGCCAGGTGCTGGACAGCAGAATGAGGGACAAAGCAAGATGGGACCAGGTTAAGAATGTCAGAAAGAAGCCACTTCAGGTGGACGAGATGGTACTGCTAAGGAACTCGGCACTAGAAAGTACTTGGTCGGGACAGTTAGGAAGGAGGTTCAAAGGCCCCTACCGGGTCGCCAAGCGGGTGGAACTGAACACCTTCGAACTGGAAGATTTGGATGGAACTGGATTGAAAGGGCTCTTCCCGGGGCAACGACTGGTCAGGTTTCTAAGTCGGGACCCAGTGGAACAATGGCTTCAGGAGGCCGAAGATAAGGAAACAGAAGAGCCACAAGCTAAAGACTAACCACAACCTTGCCCACACTATGGTTTGTCTCTGCCCATTTTCGTGGGACTGTCATTTTTTTTTTGGGATTGGTGCTTTGGCTTGGACTAACTGAGGTTGAAAGGTAGCATGACTTAGGGGTTGCAATATCTGGCTTGTGTGACAACGGGAAGGGATGTTTGGGGCATTGTACCATAGTTTTTGACAGGAAAAATATGGGGTCATCATGAACGACGCATTCGCATGTATAAAAAGGGCGTGATGCGAGGGATACTGGGTGCATTTTGGGAATGTCTACCGGCCTAAGGGGGGGGGAGGCGTAAGTGTATGAGGGACATTGCGAGTGTTGTTTTGTTATATAGGGCTTAGGAGTAAAACGAGAAAAGATAAAAATGAAATTCGGCAACGAGAACGACAACGGGGCAATCAACAGGCCTACCGGAGGGAAAGAAGCTGAACCAAGCCAAGGGAGGAGGAGAGCGAAGAGAAAATTGTACATTGGGCTCATGGGCGGGCCAGTGGTAGGCAGAGGTGGAAGGAAATGTTTGTGTAGGAAACCCTCACCCCTCCGCAAGCTCCCCCCGCAAGGGAGAAGGTATAGAAATATTATCTGACAGTGAGGGCGAAAAGAGAAGGGTAAATGTGGAAGAAGGAGGCAACACAAAAATGGGAGATAAGGCTCGGGTCTAAAACGAGGAAGGGGCCAATAGGGGCGAACGACGTGAGACTTGGCATGGGGAAAGCGAGGGGGGACAAGGCATGCGTGACGAACGTGAGGAGGACGAGGAGAAAAGGGAGAGCCCGCTTGAAGGACGAAACGGTCACGGCAGTTGCGAGGGGTATGGGACGGGGACAGAGATCCCTTTTACCTATGATCCAAAGAACCTTGCAGGTGGGTATAGCCCCATACAGACTGAAGACGAGGAGGACGAGGAGGAGGATGTGCGAGAAGTTATAGAAATCAGCAGTGGGGATGAGAGGGATGAAATCTCAAGGCCTAGGGAAGAGGGGCGGCCTCCGATGCACCAACCAGGCGATGGGACTTTCAGATGGGAGGACAAGTTCGGGTCAACGCCCAGTCACTGGTTTCAGCAATGGACCAATGTAATCAGGCACAAATGAATTATCAAGACTCGGACACTCGCAAGGGAAGGGGTGGAAGCCACACCACTGGATTTTTTCAACGAGGCTGAGTTGCATAAAATTGTAAGGATGAAAAGAGAGATCGAGACCTACGGCCTGGGGGTTAGGAAGCCTGCCGAGGAACGAAGTGGACAAGGAACTAGGCGAGATGAGGCGCGGCGAGGCGAAAGGCAGTAACAGGAACTAGGTGTTGGCTTAGCATTGAAAAGGATCGCTGCTTTCTGTCTGCAGAGATATGAAAATGACGAGAACGTGTATAATATGGGCAAACTTGCTAAGGAGTAAGTGAAAAGAGGGCCAGCTAAGGCTGTGCCACGCTTAAGTAGAAGATAGTTGTTGAGACTACTTTTGGATGAGCTACCTTGGGTACCTAAGACAAAGACATGGGATTTGGGATGAGACCAATTGGGAGAGGGCGTATTGTGAATTTTGGATGGAAAAAGGATTATGCTTTTGAGAGAGGAAAACCTTGAGTACGGATTGACGAGTAAACCATGACATTGAATGACTGGTCGAGTACAAGAGAGGTTAGGGAACCTATGGGTTAAGGGGCGTGAAAAACACTCCTTCCCTACGAGCCTAATCCAACTAAGTCATGAATGAGACTGAGAATAGTTGAAACCTGAGAGATCAGGAAGAGTGAATAGTCGGGAAGTTCAAATTGCGTCTTTTGTCTTTTGTTATGGATGAACGGTCGGGTGGGCTAGTGCTGCTTGGGGTCGCGAACCCCAACTCGAGTGCTAGACGCTAAGTCGAGTGTACACAATGGATGGTACGTTACTGTGAGAAATGAAATGGATGGTACATTACTGTGAGAAATGGAAGGAAGAGAGCAGCACGCAAAAGATGAGATGACCACCTTCAAACCTCCAAGACAAAAATGGGATCTGTAACCTCGAGGCCCACCCCCTCGGGCACTAACATTGAGAATGGAAAAGAATGGCCCTAACCAGGCTGTTCGACTTGAGAATGGAAAAGAATGACCCTAACCAGGCTGTTCGACTTGAGAATGGAAAAGAATGACCCTAACCAGGCTGTTCGACTTGAGAACAGATAAGAACGACCCTAACCAGGTTGTTCGGGTATGACCCCTGACAAGGGTCATTCCTTTTGAAATAGGCACTGGAGTCCCCTGCATATTGGATTGAGAAAGGTTGATAGATGGAAAAGGCCGGTGGCTCGGTCATTGAAAATAGCCAAAGGATGGATGAGAGAGATGGAAAAGGCCGGTGGGTCGGTCATTGAAATAGCCAATGAGATGAATGAAAGAGATGGGAAAGGCCGGTGGGTCGGTCGTTGAAATAGCCAATGAGTTGAATGGAGGAAATGGAAAAGGCCGGTGGGTCGGCCACTGAAAATTGCCAAGGGGGCGGAAGGAAAATGCGAAAGAGAAGGACAAGATAAAGAAGGCGGAGCCTTAAAGCCGAGAAGGGCAAGGACCGTTGGGACGGTCACAAAAATTGGGTGTTGAGGAATGAGAAAATTGAGGATTGAGTGAGCGGAAGGGTCAGTCTTGAGAAATGGCTTTTGAGAGAATGATCGTCAGACCAGCCGTGAGGGTGACCTTGTTGATAAGAGGCTGTCAGACCAGCCGTGAGAATCAGCCTTGGAATTAGCATTGGATTGAATGATTGAGGATTGAATATTGCATTGCATAGGCAGGGGACCCTAGGCAACTTGAAATGAACTTGGAAATAGCATTGAAATGAATTTTCTTTTTTTCTAGTCTTTGGCCTCAGCAGGAGGGGGATATCGGTGCTCGAACCGCGACCCCAAGACCTCTATCCCTGTAAGGAAAAAAGTCTCAGCGCGACCTATTCCTCTTGTAAGGGGATGAGGGTTAAAGGACCAAGGCACCTACCACTTGGATTGGTGCGGGACGTCTGAAACTGATCCCGAGAACGAGCTCTAGTCGGGAAGTTCAAATTGCGCCTCGTGTTGAATGCCTAAACGTCAAAGGGTGAGGGAACCAAATGGGCGAGAGAACCATTCTTTTTTTCTAGTCTCTTTTGTTCTCCCCAACCACACGTCATGTCGTTGAGGAGCGGCATGGCCGCTTGGAATGGACCACGGCGGCTCGCGTTAAGTTGAGCAACAATGTCCAGAAGGGAGGAGTTGGGCGTGGTACCGGGTGGAAGCCATAACCACCACGGGGCGAGTGACACCGCCCCGCCGGAGCATTACAACCGCTTCGGGACTAATTCTGAGGTCTTCGTTACTGCACTCGTGGACTAATTGAGAGCCCCAACTCTCTTGAAAGGAAGAGGCCGGATCCAAGAAAACACCACTCGGGAGGAACGATTCGTGAGGAAGCCCTTACGACAAGACGGGGTCCTGGGAGGCTTGGACTGGACCTGCCTTCCAGATATGAGGAGGTACCTCAGTAATGACGCCCGTCTCGTAAGCAGCAAAAGGTCGGAYGRAGTAAGGGGATGAGGTGAGTTATCAGCAGGGGGAGGACTGATCACCCTTCCTTTTTGGGGCTGATGGGCTGGCATCCGCCTACTCGTTGGTGGGTCAAAGGTTGCGTACCTCCGAGTGAGAACTAGTCGTGTGATGGGGACATCGCATTTTGAGTGGGGGGAAGGTGTGCCATCTAGCAAAGAAAAAACGTGCAAAAGAGAAGGGTACCATGAGCGTAAGAATGGATGAGTAATCGACTTTGCGCAGGCTTGAGAAAAAGTCTGGCAAGATGTCCAGAAGAAAAGAATGAATGAGTAATTAACATTGCATAAGCTTGAAAAAAAAAACCTGGCAAGATGTCCAGAAGAAAATAATGAATGAGAAATCGACGTTGCATGAGCTTGAGAAAAGGCCTGGCAAGCGACTTGTGTGATTGATTTGGCATAAGCTTGAAAATGGGCCAAGTAAGACGTCTGGAAAAGAAAAGACTCGTATGATGGACTATGTGCGGATCTGAGAGAAATACTGGCAGGCTGAGAAACAGATGAGTATTTGGAAATAGGTCTGACAAGGTGTCTGAAAGAGAGATGCACAAGGGATGAACTGGGCAGTATGCATGAAAAAAAAAGTAAAAATAAGCAAGGAACAAGAAAGGACAAAGAGTGATATGAATGCAAAATTGGCAGGACCTGAGGAGATTCGGGCGAAAGGACCCGGGGGAGATGCATGTGGATTTGGCAAGGCCAGAGCATCGGGGAACGGTAAAGAGAAAACATGGATTGCACGGGCCGAAAAGTAGATTATTTTTTATAAGAGTAATGAATGAGGCAAGGCCAAAATGGTTTCTGCTCGAGAATGCTTCCTCGATGAAATGGGAAGACAGATTTGAGATCACGAAACACTTAAGGGGAGTTGTGCCTAGGCTCACCAATTCGAAGTGGGTATCACCACCGCAAAGACAACGGTTGTACTGAACGAACATCTCCCTTCCGGAGCAAATGCCTGACATTGAGTCGCATCCAAAAACTTGCCTACAATTTGTTATCAACAAAGTCAAGGCATAAAATGAGAAAACCAATTGTGTTATGACAACAAATTGTCATCTGGGAATAAAGCCAGCATACCAGTAGTTAAGTGCATGAAGCAAGGGGAGCCTCATCTGCTTCATGTTACTGAAGGCGAAAGAATTATGGGCTGTCTTGCTGAGTATACAGAGTTGACTGAACAAGAAGTTCGTGTCTCGATTGAGGGAAAGATAAAGAGGCAGAGCTATGATGAAAATGAGCAATCTGGTCTAAGTTGTAGAACCTTCGACTCCCCCATACCCTCCTCCACCCCAAGGGGCGGAAGCTAAGGAAGACATTGAGAAAAAAATGGGAAAAGAACAAAACGGACCCTGGCAAACTAACCACCCATAACATCTCACCCTCCTCTCCCATCTATCCCTCCAAAATCCACTAACAAGAGATTGGTGCTCGATGAGGACATCGTGAATGAGTGAGGGGAATGTTTCGAGACAGGTGGGTCCCGAATAACTTCCCATCACTTGAGAGATTGAATACGGACGATTTGTGCACAACAAAGAAATCTGGAGTGAGGAAGCAGGAGAGAGAAAAAACAAAGGATTAGGCCACAAAAGGGAATGATGCCCTGAGGAGAGAACCACATGAGGAAAGAACTAGCGGCGACAAACAAGTGAGCGCAAGAACAGGGGCATATAGAACATAGCAGGAGGCCGGGAGGGTCATCGGAATGCAATAAGACTAAGGCCAAAGGGCCCTTTGAACTAGCAATTGCAGCGCGACAACAATAAGGGAATGAGGAAGTCGAGGAATGGGCGGCCAGAAGCCGCGGGAAGCCAGGAA